TATGATATTAAATGGAAGAACGCATAGTTCGGAGTGTAAGTTGAATGTCAAACGTTATATTTTGACATTTTGACACTTCACTAATATTGAAAATGAAAGGATATATTTTTATAAATTGTACAGAATATTTGTGACAATTTTATTCACTGGCACTGGCGATGATCGCTGTTATTTTTATCCTGTAATAATTTATATCCAATGCGTTTACAATAGCAGTATATCATACGTAAAGTATATCATAGTTTAATATAGTTAATTGTTGTATAATCTATCGCCTCTAGCGATCACAAGACGTAAAATTTTGTATTCAAATATTTTACGAAAAAACTCATGGTAGGTACTCTAAGATACAATGTTAGGATGTAGGAATTTAATGCTGTAGAGTAAGTCAATGTAGGGCGCAGTAGTGTAGTCACTAATATGTAACATCATATACGTGTATTCAAACGCATTGCATACTTAGGTATATATGCATAATGTGTCTCTAACAGACAACACATGTTTCTATTTACGAGGACCAGTTTACGATTTAACGGTCTCAGTATGTTGTATTTAAAATATGTAATGATGCTTGGAATTGTAAAAGGTCTTTGTTTTTATTATGTGTTACACACCGTATGTGACATAAATTTTAACATAGTATTAATAATAACAACGCACACACTTATAGACATGAGAGGAATAAATGTAGGCCATACAAATATTTTTCCCGGTCTGGGATTCGAACCTGGGACCTCTGCGTGGTATACCAGCATGGTAACCGTTCGGCCAAGGAAACACTTACATGTTATTGAATAATAAAAATAAGGCCTTGCGTGTACTTAATTGTTACTTAAAATTGATGAATTACGGAAGTAGAGTAAGAATCTGTAAAGTTAAATGTTTTCATAAGATTTACTAATTTTTTATTTAGAAAATAAAAGATGCAGTACTACCTACTACAGTGCTCCGGCGTGGCAACTATAGGGCGACGTACCTTGGAGTGCCGAGGTCGCTCCCCGAAATCTTCAGCAAACCGAGTAGGTTGTTGAGATTCCTGGAGGAGCTTGGGTGGCATGAGTTGGACCCTGCACCCACCACACGAAAAATAGGCGCCTTGACGTCGAGTTGCGGACACCAGCTCGTTACACCAAGTACCAAGTACCAAAAGATGGAATTCCACGTGAACGCGTTTTCATGTAATTTCGCACTCAGTTTAGTAACAATAACTACAGTTAAATATGCATTAATAACTGAGGTAGAATGATAAGAACGAAGTTAGATAGTGTTGAAATAATACTTTTTAGTGATAACAAATATTATTGAGTAAGAATGTCCAATGTCGAAGTTAAGCACTGGTAACCTTATGGTATAACTTGTTGCCTCTGAAGCAGAGGCCGCGGCTTCGAATCCGGGCTTGCACCTGTGAGTTTCGGAATTTATATACAAAGTTTAATTTGAAATTAACCATGAGCTTTTCGGTGCACGAAAACACCTTGTGAAACCTGCATATTGAAGAAGGTTCGCAACCCTAGGAAAATGTGTGAACTCTCTAACTTTTATTGAGCCAGTGTGACAGTCTATGGCCTAAACCCTCGCCAAAGAGATCTGTGCCCAGCAGTGGCTCGCATAAATGGGTTAATGGCGAGTAAGAATGCTGTTACGCTTGTTAGGTGTATTTTTTTAAATACTCAATGTGTTTTGTTGTCACCCAACAGATATATATACTTTATTGCAATTCCCCGTACTATCTATCTAAGCAACAAAATGAACTCCAGGGCATTTACTAGAACACCCAGCCCCCAATTTAGAAAAGTACATTTCCAAAGTGAGTTCTACCAGGAATTGAATCATCACAGAGGTCATCAAACTTAATAAAGTACAAATTTAGCTAAATCTGAATCTTTTTCTGTACCACATAATGCAATAAATGATAGGACTATGACTATCTCGGGAGATTGCTTATCAAATAGCTATTGTGAAAATTTTCGTCTGCATGTCGCAACGATTGAGACATTGCCCGGCTTACAGGAGGCAGGTCATACAAATTTTGGATGAGGCGAATTGAAGCAATCGCGGGCGATAGGCAATGACTTGATCTTAATGTAACTTACATGGGGCACACTGAAAGTTTTGCACTTTTGTCTATAATAACTAATTCAATTCCGAAAAGTATATTTTTTTAAATAGGACTTAATTGACTTATTTATAAAAAAAATTGCTGGGGAATAATTGGTCAATATATTTTATTAGACATCTATCTAAAGCGAAAAGATTATAGAGCAACGTTTTTCTATGATTTTAAGAGTGTTTTTCTCCTCAAGATTGTGCCGCTCGACTTCAAAATGCTTTTGGGAGGAAAGTACCTCATTTATGTACTGTGATGGACATGCGGAATTTGAGCATGGACAGGTTTTATCTGAATGATGTGATTCGTGAAGGCCGTCCTTCAACAGCGACTAACGGCGAAAACGTGGCCACTGTAAAACATTTTTTTGTACAATACCGACGTATCACGTATGAAATGATTTGAGAACATCTGGGGATCGGTATGAGTGAGATCCAGAAAATTTTATACGAAGTATTACTTGGTACTCGGTGCAACGGGCTGGTGTCCGCAACTCGACGACAAAGCGCCTATTTTGCGTGAGGTGGGTGCAGGGTCCTACTTGTGCCACCCAAGCTTCTCCAGGAATCTCAGCAACCTCCTCGGTTGGCTGAAGATTTCGGGAAGCGGCACTCCAAGATACTTCACCCTTAGTTAGAGTTAGGGCGGTAGTTAGAGTGTGAAGCTCTTGCTTTTTAAGTTTGATTAATTTTCGAGATAGACTGGCGTGGAGCGTCGGGAGTGCTTCCTTCTCCTGTCTACAAACCGTAAAGGTTGACCATGTGTTATTTTGAGAAGATTTTGTACCTTTGTATAAAGTCGTTCTTGACCATTGGTAGGGGAGAGACACTATGGTTTCTGGTCCTACAGCGTCCGTCTCCGACCCTTTCCTGGCTAGTTTATCTGTTGCGTCATTGCCACGTGAGCCGCTGTGTCCTTTAATCCACTGTAGAGTTACGTGGTTACATACCTCCATGAGTGTTTGATGGAATTCGTAAGTGAGCCCCGAGTTTATGTTATAGCTGTTCAGTTCGGTACACCAAGTATTAAATGTTAGGAAACTTTTTTGACGTTGGATCCCCCATGAACTGACGCCAGAATAAAAACGAACAAGTGTTGAATAATGCTCTAAGATGTTGCTTAGGTACGATCACGGTAATTTGAATGCTGCTTATGATATCTTCACGGTAGACGAAAAGTGGATTTATTGTTTTGAACCAGAAAAAAAACAGCAATCTTATGAATGGGTGTTCGAAAGCGATAACAGACCGACAAAATTGAAGCAGGCGAGGAACATAGGTAAAAAAATTATTCCGTTTTTTTTTCTCGCATGAATCCCGTTAGTATAATCTCGCTTGAAGATTAGAGGTGTGGTAATGCTGAATGGTACACCACCATTTCTTTACCATCGTCCTACAAAAAGTCGGAGGGAGACGATCAAGAAGCCGCAACCTATTTATCCACGACATCGCTTCTTCGCACACAGCCAACAAAACCTACATTCAGTAGCTCTAGAGCTGCCATCATTTCTATTTCTGGCAGTTGTGACCATGCGAAATTTTTCATCGTCATCCCACTTTTTTGTCACTTCTTTCTTTGGTTCCTGGCCACTTGCTTTGAAATTTTGAATCGTTCCTAAATTCCTTTTTATTCTTCGTCACTTACGTTTCTTCTTTCCATCGCCACTCTCTATTGTGCTCGACCACACTTAGGATTCTGACCAGTTAAATGACGTACCTAACTGCTTGTAAAGCATATTATTTCTAGAAATTACAGGCTTGTTTGGGGTAAGGTTCCATTTTACTTCTTTAATTACGTCCGCGTGACACAGTAACGTAACTCCATTTTTGAAGACTACCGGTTGTCGGTAAAATTACAGGCACATACAGCATGTCAACTTTGTCTCAGGGTGACGGGTGCAGTAGCATTGCCAGGTCAATTTAGGGCTCTAAGTGGCACTGCAACAGTTATTAATAGGCGTTTCACTTACCACCAACTTTTAGCAGCGATGCAAATGTGATGCAGTAACGATGCAGTTGCTAATGGTCTATCTTTACACACACGCGCGATATTAAGCAGCGATGCAAACGCGATGCAAGCGCGCTACTGCATCGATACAAACGCGTGATTGCATCGCTACACTTGTGATTTATAAGCGATTGCATCGATGCAATTACGCGTTTGTATCTGTAGGGTATCGACATAATGTACCTTACACAATAGACAATATGTTACACTGCGGTCCGCCGTACCCGCCATGATGATACAAGAGAGTGGCGTGAGCGGGCGTGGATCGCACGTATACGTGAAGCAAACAAACGTTGTATCATCGACCTATCGATGCAATCGCGCGTTTGTATCGTTGCAATCGCGCGTTTGCATCGTTGCAATCGCCTATAAATCGCAAGTGTATCGATGCAATCGTGCGTTTCACGAACGCGCGTTTGAATTATAAAATTTCATACATAACATTACATACATTTTGTTTCATGTAGTTCGTTTTATTTTTATGATATTTATGTAGAATATTTTTAATAGTGAATGTAGTCGTAAGAATTTAATTAAGAAGGTAACATATGAATAAGAGTGAATGACGAGAGTGAAGGAGAGGAATGAGTAAGTGAGAGAATGAAGAGGAAGAACGGTTGTTGGAAAGTAGTGAGACGGCAGAGAGAGATTTTGGTTTACGAGTGTGGCTCACGTTTTTTGTAAAAAATTATAAGAAAATAAAAAGAATTGACGAGGCAAATTTTACGAATTTTATTACGACGAAAAACATCCCACCTTATCCCACATATATGCGATAAAAGCATTTTGACATATAATCACAAATGGCTTTATACCAAGGTAGTCGATCTGTTCATTCCGTTAATGATATCTTAAAAAAAAACATAACATACATCTGTGTACTTACATGGCGTTTCTGGTGTCAGGCACGGCTCTATTACTAGGTAAATTATCTGAAGCGGCCTGGTTGAACCGGTTCCTGACGTATGGATCCGCATCTTTCGTTCCGCCCGTGACGTATCCGGCTTCGTCGAAGTACGCCCGTCCGGTTACCGTACCGAGATCATCCGGTGACGCTGGACTACTATCTGCTTCTTCTACATCTGAATGCTGCTTTATCAGGCGGAGAGCTATATTTTCTTCCTGCAACAATTAGAAATGTAATATTTTAGTCATGTTATGTAGCCTTTATTTAGAATAAATGAACAAAATACACTAAGAAATTTCATATTTAAGGATGATTCACATCAGACCGTGTCGGGCGCGAGCCGCGTCCGAGTCATCCGTGGCTCAGACGCACTGCATATTTATATTCACATTAGACCGTGCCGGACGCGAGCCGTATCCGAGGCATCCGAGCCTTGTACGTGCTGCACGATCTTAAATTAGACAGAGTCAGAGAGTGTTCACATTACAACGAGCCGAAGCGTCCACATCCGAGGCTCGGACGAGCTCGGAAGCAGCTCGGACGTCGCGCGTCCGTACCACGGACGCGGCACGTAGAAATGTGCATCACTTCACAAAAAATGTATGCAGCATTTCCACTCCAAGCCTAGCACTACGTGCATCGGCTCGCGCCCGACACGGTCTAATGTGAATAGTCCTTAAGGGTCACCACACTTATTAATGCAGAACCGACTTGAGCTGGTTAGGGAAAGCTTTTGTCTATGCAATACACATTGCATAGACAAAAGCTTTCCCTAACTGAATGAGAACGAAAGCTAAGTGAAGTGGGCGATGTAGACAGTATAAAATTGGATGAAGAAACAAAAGAACAAAGAGCACAAATCGATGCCTCCAATGAACACTACGCTAACTATATTTTCTGTTATTTTTGTAAACAGACCCATATTTATTTACTAATATTACGCTCCCCGAATTCTGTGAAAAAAAATAAAGACACAAAAAGAAATTAGAAAAAAAAAACAAAAAAACGAATATTGTGAAAAAAAGAAACAAAAACAGAACAGGTCATTGGAGGTATCGAAATATGGATGAAACAAAATATAATACACAACACGGAGATAATCGAAATATCAGAAAAACAATACAATAAAATAATAACATGACGGAAAGAACAGCAAAATAATATAAATCAAGAAGTTCGCGACACTAAACTTACGCTAAGAGACGAGGGTTTAGAGTCCCGCCACAATGTCAATTATAAATCGTATGTGGTAAGAGAGCCGTCCGATCATCTGTCGACCGTCATGAAGGAGAAGTTTTGGCCGAAGGGTGTCATATATCGCATACACGTCGCCGACAATTAGTTATTTTTGTAGATAGTTAATTAGTTAGTTTTATATTATATAACATATAAGTTAGTGTTGAAGGTACACATTTCAAGCATAATTATTGTCTGAATTAAAAATAAAATAAATAAAAATAAGAAAAATGAGAGTGAAAAATAAATTAGTGCATTCCGCTTCTGCTAGAACCGACGTGAATCGCAGAACTTAAAAATTGCGTTTACATCATGACCAGACCTACTACAGTCCACTAATATAAGAATCCAATAAACAGTATAAAACAAGCTAATTCTTCTTTTTCTATAATTTCTGCTGTTTGATTTAGAATAATTTAAAATATAATAGTAGGCGACGCCCTTTGTTAATCTGGTAAACACATCTTATTAGTGTGATATTTAATGCACCGTGAGAATATCATAGTTAACGGGAAAAACATTTAATGGAACGTGGATCTTTATTGAAAAGGTTAACGTTATAAGTGTATACTCATTTGCTATACGATTCTTAATCTTCTAGTTAAGGTCACTGTGTCAGCTCCTGAATGTAAATAAGGTTTGGATTTTACTTTAGCAGCACTAAATAACTCATTTATATGCGTTTATTATTAGTAGCATATGATTTATGAATTTTGTTTCGTTTGAACAAACGTAAATCCAGTTAGGCGGGCGATTATCATATGTCACGTTGACACATCACGCGATTTTATAACATTAATGTTTTCTTTTTATGTTTTTTTTTTAATATTTTGTGTAACTCTGTTTTGTTATAAATTTCCCGTTGGGTTTGATTCTTTTTGACATTTCAATACTCATAAAAGATCGAACAAAGACAAAGAAAAAACGTCACTTGATAGGTACTAAAATGTAGTCAAGATTTGACATTCTACAATGGGGCTTCCACTACATTTTGTAGAAGCATGTTACTTCGATATTAACCAATTTTTTAGGCAATCTAGTAAATGGACCCTTTATCACTTTGTTTGTAAACTACAAATGAACAAATAATCTAAGAAAGGTATGATACACATTGCGTTATTTTTAATATAGCAATTAATTTTGAAACATGTTCTGATAAAATCACTCGAAAGAGGACGTCAACATCTCATTAAGCAAATTTTGCCATACTTTTCCTATAGCCTTGAAATTACTGAACCATTTATGTTAAATAAACTAGTTTAGATCGTTACAAATTTCGAAATGAAATTCTTAATATGGAAAAGATCGTTCGTAACATTTGTAAACAAATAATTATGGAAGTCTATGAAAATAAATAAATAGTCAGCGCAGGCCTCCTCTCACAATGAGACGGCTATAGAGTGGATTATAAGATCAAACATGATCTCCGTGGTTGGGAATAATCTGTCGCTGCCGGCCGCAGTCAAGGCTATGGTCGACAGCGACAGGGCGTGGAAAGCAGTGTTCGCCATTCGCGAGGTGGTGGTAGGAGCGAAGGTGACGATGAACAGATGAGGGAAGATCATCTGTTCTCTCATCCGATCTATCGCAGGAGGATTGGGGGCAGGCATCGGATGCGGGGACTTCCGGTGCTCGAACGACACGTGGATGACGTGCATTGTGTGCGGAAGGCGTAGAGGGAGACTCGTTAAGTAGTCTGCATAGGTGGTGCCGGAGACGGCAGTCCCTGTTGGGTTGGCGATAATGTGCAGTTGCGTTCCTGCGTTCCCATGGAAATGCGTCAAGGCGAAGCACCGTCAGGTTTATTTGGGTTTTAGTACAAATCTGACAGCACTTCGTCTCCCCGGGCAAAGGGTATCTATGAGGATTTCCTGACGTAGAAAAGGCCTCCTTTCACAATGAGAGAGCTAAATGGTGGATTGGGAACTTCACAAACATCATTAAATTACGTTCTAGGTTTCCTCGCTATGTTTTCTATCACCAAAAAGCTCATGGTAAAAACCCGCGACACTATGTTGAGCGTGTGCGTTATTATTATTATATTAACGTTCTCACCAATAATTAACTGTTCCATTATACTCCATCATATGTAACCTTTTCGTAAAAAAAATGGTCAAATTTTGAAATTACGTGCCCTATTCTCATTATTCATTCCCTTATAAATATCCAAATTCATGGTAGGTCAATGGTGTTTAACATTTCAATTTCGAATAATGTAATTCTCATTCTGCTTGTCTTCGTCTTATCGTATCGATGACATACACTATACTACTGTGGACCAAACCTTAGCTACGCGGATCGCATCCCTAGTAGCCTCCATTAAATCCTCAAACGTGCAGTTGTTTGGGCACGCAGATCATAATGTTAGGTGAGCCATCGTTTGAATCGCAAACAATTCAGGTCACTCTCCGCAACAATTGCTGTCAAATACTCGATCAAATTAGAAGACGCATTATGCCAATCAAGCTTCATACTTGACATTGCCTTTTGAATATTAATTATTTGATAGTAATGCTCTGGTTACACAGACGCGGCCGCGGCGTGTTTTAGTGTGCCAGGGTTCAACAAACAATAATAGTGTTCCAGACAGCGACGTTAATTTCCAGGTCTCAAACAAGGAATTACCCTGTACCACATGCACCGAAATTGCTTGTAATGGCCACGTTCTGCGATTTTACAGATTACCTCGCATTGTCGACGATTAGAAATAAACACACCCCGGCGTCGCCCTTTTCGTAATAATAATTAATCAATTACATAATGACAACCCGTCGTCGCGTACCGTCCCCGTCCATTATTCGTTATGCATTGATCCATCCACTGTTATGGGCGTGTCTGAGTTACCTACGACGAGTCTTTGTTTGTGGTGAGCGGACACTGTACAGAACACCCAGACTAGTGTCATTACACACATTCCACTTAACATTCCCATCTAAGTTATGTGGAGTCGTCTGTAAATCTTCCGCGTAGAAGAACAGTCTCATTCATAAGCGCGCTTTATACAAGCGAAGTTTATGATAATAAGTCAATGACGTTCAATAGAGACGATCATGTCGAAACTAACATTAGAGGGTCGTTGCATAGTTATTCATAGTTTCAAAATTGCATGCATTCAAAACCTCGTAAATATAGCTTGAAAAGGGTCATAGTTTATTATGTTTATTATAAAACAATAACATCGCCTTGAAGTGAAAATCTCCGTTCCGGCTAGTTTGGTCCGCATACGCATTGTTACATACTTTTTATTTACTGATTTTTAGCCGTCTTCAAAAAAGGAAGAGGATCTCAATTCGACTGAATTTTTTTTGTTTGTGTTACGCAATTACTGCGACATTTGTGAACCAATTTGGAAAGGGGGCACTTCAGTAGTGGTCCCATTAAAATTTGAAGAAAATATTCCACCCCTAAGGATGGCAAATTAGGGAATGAGTACGGTTTATTGGATTTCACCCAGCTTTCCGTTAACCGATTACAATAAAACTTGGCAAAGAAATGTAATTCCACAATTTATTTAATAAAAATGTTATATTTTTGTTGAAGCAAAACCGGTTACCTATCAGTAGTCCGAAGTGACATTTTTCAGAAATAACGTTTGGTCGAAATTTCATAACCTCGAAAGTAATTTTGAGAGGAAAATGTTTTTTCTTTAAACCTAACTTAACCTAACCTAACCGAACCTAATCGTGTCTTTGCGATAAACATTCAACATACTCTGAAAGAACATCTGTTTCGTTATAATTCGGTTTTCGGTATAATTAAAATTCGAACAAACGTTATTTCGGACAAAAAAAAAGTCATCGAAATCGGTTCATAAATACCGGAATAATCGTGTAACAAACTTACAAAAAAAAACACTCGAATTGATAACCGGAGGACTTTCTTTGAAGTCGGTTGAAAACTATTTGACCTCATAAAAAGATTGATTCTTTATATTGAAAAGGTTATTTACACTTCCACCATAATTATTTGAATGAACATC